GATGACTTAAAAACATTTCTTAAAGATATAAGGATACATAGATGACTTGAAAACATTTATTAAAGATATGAGGATACATAGATGACTTAAAAACATTTCTTAAAGATATAAGGATACATAGATGACTTAAAAACATTTCTTAAAGATATAAGGATACATAGATGACTTGAAAACATTTCTTAAAGATATGAGGATACATAGACAACTTCAAAACATTTCATAAAGATATAAGGATATGTAGATAACTTAAAAATTTTCATAAAATTTAATGATATTGTTATCCCTTAACATAAATGTTTGTACCTTACCCATTTAGGTAACATTTCTTGGTAACTTTATTTACACTTGCTAGAACAGTACATAAGAAATATGGTTGAAATCATTTCATAATATTGTCTAATCGTGTTGAAATTTACCTAAATTTACGAAGATTTTTTGCGTGTGTTTTAAGGATTTTCTGAGATTCGTTAATTAAAAAAAATATAGTTTTTATTACAACTATTCTTGTTTTAATATATTGGGCCTTTTGTCAATTAATTGCATATATTTATACTTGAATTAATGTATTAAAATTTCTTTCAAGATGTTGTATGTGGAATGTCAGTTAACTCATTAGTAGGTTTTGTCACGTAACTGATGTTTTTTATATAGAAGACCAAGGGTATGATGTTGATGGTCTTCAAATATTAATGAATTTAATGCTGAATTACAAAGTTTAGAAGCAATATGTAACATTCTAATATTGAAATGAATGAAAAAAAAAATAATGTTTTATACTTCTGTACTGGACTTAGTTTCTTACAGAACCTAGTGAATTGTGTGTAGTTACTCAAAAAGCTTCTTTCAGACAGTGTAATAATTTTGAGTTCAAGAGAGCCACAATGCCAGAACAGAATGCTTATTTCAAGTGATCTCTCTTTGAAACACTTTTTTCTTATTTTAGTATCAAGGTGTATAAAAGGTTCTTTGGTCCACATTACCCATGTTTAATTATATTACTTCCTTGTTCAAACAACACGATATTTCTATGGTTCTTTGGTCCACATTACCCATGTTTAATTATATTACTTCCTTGTTCAAACAACACGATATTTCTATGGTTCTTTGGTCCACATGGAATAATGCTACAACTCTTCAACAGTATGTTCCACATTAAACCTGTAATAATGCTACAAAAATTAATGACTGAACCTCATGACATTTTACAGATTCAGATTTACAAATGAATCAATGTAGCACCTGTTATTAAAATACTAATCAGGTAAAGAAATATTGTTTTTAAATTCCTAGCTCGTAACTGTGAGTTAATAGAAACATTTACATATATTAAGATTAAACTAGGGTACTCTTCTTTGGTCCACATTACCCTGTTTAATTATATTACTTCCTCATTCATAATACATGATACTTCTATGGTTCTTTGGTCCACTTTAATTATATTACTTCCTCATTATTACCCTTGTTCTTTGGTCCACATTACCCTGTTTAATTATATTACTTCCTCATTCATAATACATGATACTTCTATGGTTCTTTGGTCCACCCATAGACGTATCATGTTATTTGAACAAGGAAGTAATATAATTAAACATGGGTAATGTAGACCAAAGAACCATAGAGCAGTTCATATAATATCAACAAAAGGCTATTATTTAAAAACTTGTGAAATATAAGACAGAAATATAGCATCAGCATGTATCATACGAATAAGATATTTAAACATAAGTAATGTAAACCAAAGAACTATAGAAGCAGTACGTGTAGTATAAACAAAGAAACAATATAATTAAGTACAATGGGGAAAACACGTACAAAACATTTTTGTGTGTGGTATTTTGTATTTGAATACACAAAGTTTTTAAAATGTAAAGACTGTTGTGTATTTAAAGTGATTAAAACAGTTAAATAATCTGTCTAGACTACTCACGCATGAAGTAAGATACGCATTGTCCTGATGGCTGTGAGGGGCATCTCCATGACTGTGAGGTTAAACTTATTCCACAACATCTGATACCCACTTCGAGCCGAATGGTCTGATCAAAAATAACAAACTGATCAACTTATGTAGTAAGAGACACCAGATCTAAGGACACTTTCAAAACCTGAGTATTGGTGTAATGTATTAAAACTTACCACCAGGGTGACGGTACTTTACGTATCTATAAACAAGTGAAGAAATTCCCACACAGTAAACACTTCTGTTTAAGATGGAGCTCTCGGGGATGACAGACCCATTCTTCAACGAAGTACCTTTCCCTTTGCAATGCAAAGTGCTATCAACACCCACCCATCTCTTACACACGTGGTGACGTCGTTCTTACTTCTAATTTTTGCATAATTTAAAGAAGTTTAAAAAGCTTTATACCAACTTACGTTGCATTTCTAACTATGTAGGTGGGTAATATAAACCCAAGAACTCTAGATGCATAATGTGTAGTATGAATTCAAAACTCAATTAAACTTGCGTACGTTTGTATCTGGAGAATAAGTTATTGGCTACTGGACATTCTGTGGATAGTTTCAATTAGTTAGTTAAATGTCCAGTTCATCTCGACAACAGTGTCACGATGAAGAACATTAAATGTGGTTCTCCAGTCTTGAATGGGCGTAATGATATTGTCATTTATCTAAGGTGGATATTGATATATTTTTCAGAAACTATTATTTTTGATTTTTTTTAAGTAGTACAAGTGATTTCAATCGATAATCGTTTTTTTATAATTGTTTTGTAAATTAAAGGGCAATCAATTTTCTGCTAATGATATTAATAAAACTGTTGATTTAAAATTAATTTATATTAATCCAACAAGAAAATTGATTTTAACAAAACAAAGTTACTATCATCTTGTTGAATTATCTTTTTCTTTGTTACTATCTATATTTTCCACACAATAGCGCCCCCCTCCAGTGGCACAGCGGTATGTCTGCAAACTTACAACGCAAGAATCCGGGTTTCGATACCCGTTGTTGGCAGAGCACAGATAGCCCATTGTGTAGCTTTGTGCTTAATTACAAACAAACCACACAACAGCAAAGACGTGCAGTTTGAAAGCTACATTTGTTTCGGCTTATTCGCCAGAAAAATATTCTATTAACTTTTAAAAGTATTTACGTGATTTCTTCCAATTTCAAGTACTAATTTTGATTTGTAGTTTTAGGTCGTGTTATTTAGGTGAAAGTTGTTTATATTTCCCATTTTATTAACTAAGATACAAATGCCTAAAAGGCTTATCGATAATACTAATTACAAGATAATGTAGAACATTATTAGGAGGTCACACGCAAGCTTTGAAATAAGTCGATTCGTAGCGGCGTTAGTTGCCTCCCAGTGGCACAGCGACATGTCTGCAGACCTATAACGCTAAAAACCGGGTTTCGATACTCGTGGCAGGCAGAGCACAAATAGCCTATTCTGTAGCTTTGTGTTTAACTTCAAACAAACAGTCGTTAGTTTCCCACAGCAGCATGTCTGCGGGCTTATAACGCTAAAAACCGGGTTTCGGTACCCGTGGTAGGCAGAGCCCATTGTGTAGCTTTGTGTTTAACTTCAAACAAACAGTCGTTAGTTCCCACAGCAGCATGTCTGCGGGCTTATAACGCTAAAAACCGGGTTTCGGTACCCGTGGTAGGCAGAGCCCATTGTGTAGCTTTGTGCTTAACTTCAAACAAACAGTCGTTAGTTTCTCCCAATGGCATAGCGGCATGTCTGCGGACCTATAACGCTAAAAACCGGGTTTCGATACCCGTGGTAGGCAGAGCCCATTGTGTAGCTTTGTGCTTAACTTCAAACAAACAGTCGTGAGTTCCAGATGTGGCAAAGCGGCATGTCTGCGGACCTATAACGCTAAAAACCGGGTTTCGATACCCGTGGTAGGTAGAGCCCATTGTGTAGCTTTGTGTTTAACTTACAAACAAACAGTCGTTAGTTTCTCCCAATGGCATAG